CTTGGATACACCAGGCTGGAACCACAAGCCTCAAAGGCGGGTCACAGCCATGGCGTGGGAAGTTCCTAGATCTGGGCTCCCCAAAGCGGGGAGCTCCTTTCCACAGAAACGTCGTCCTGATGAGTCCAGCAGACCCAAAGTGAGGAGCTCCTTACCGCAGCTGGTAGTACCCACGTCTGTTTGATTCTGCCTGAGTCTGGAATTTTTAATGGGTTCAGAAGGAAAGAATTGCGTTCTAATTGGTCCATGGTGGCCAGGGGCAGGCCCATAAAAAGCACTATAAGTTCTTACTCTGGGCTATAGATTCTACCCAGAATGGGCAGCTCACCATCAGGCTTCAGACTGTCCCTGGCTTGAAAGTGGAGTTTCACTGGGGACCCACCCATTTCCACTCAGGAACCTGTCTGCCTCCCATGCCATCCATGATGCACAGGCTGTTCCTGCCGATGTACACCTGCAGGCCCACTCTACCCTGCCCTCAGCACCCTGCAGCCTCTCTCCTGTTTTCCTCAGTGCTCCAAGTACAGAAGGGTGCAGGCAGCACCAGGGTGGGTTGAGTTGTCTACACTGCCCTGAGCACCTGCACACCCTACTAGGTTATGACAGCGCCTGGGCTCAGTCACAACTTTGCTCCGCCCAGGAACTGGCACTGGGAGCAGGCAAAGGCCAGGGAGCAGGAGTAGCAGGAGAGCTTCCCAGGCCCTAGAGAACAAAGGGATGCCTGGGTCCTGAGCTTCAGCTGGATGGCTGCAGCTGCACCCAGGAACCTGGAGTGCATCCTATCAACACAGTAGGTGTGGAGACTCCTGCCGGTTCCCAGCTCTTACTGGCTCAGTGGAGCATGCAGCCCCAGCTATGCCTCCCCCACTGCAGCTGATGTCCCTGGAACAACTGCTCCAAATAAGCCCCATTGCCCTCATGTATACATACCAATGTGAATAAAAAGGGGAAGTACAGAGTACCATCGTGATTGGTATCTCCTAGGAGGACTATCAGATTTCATAATAATCCCTTCAGGGATGTGAAAGAATTCTCAATATATATAATAAAACAGAATAAAAAGAATCAAAAGTGGATCAAGATGTGAAACAGTGTCCAGTAGATAAGAGCTTAATTAAATTATTTGCAAATAATGCTTTCTACCTTTTTTAAACCGATTTCAAAATCATTTTAGAGTTTTTTATGACTCAACTTATCTGACTCTTCTTTCCAAATAAAGTATCTTTTGGGTATAAGTACTTCTTGAATCTAAAATGGAAGCTTGACCCAAATGATGAAATATAAATTTTTTTATTGATTGGGTATACTTTGTTCTCAAAAAAAACTTACCACTTTGGGAAAACTTAATGTATACCTAAACTTTCAATCCTAGCTTCTGAATCAGCTTCCTTTTTTACATATATGTGTAATACACACACACACACACACACACACACATAATATCACACCTCATTTTGTCTATAAGATCTCTCATTTTCCCACTTACAACTGAGAGAACTCATTTTATTTACATTACATTTTGGAGTCAATTTAATAAAGCTGGGAAACTAAAGTATTAAACTGCATAGTACTGCTTGAATAAGCAGTTTATCTTCGATGGAGATGACCTAATGTTAAAGGTTATTCCTTCTCTGTTTATATTTATTTATCAGAAACCAGCAGCCTAATAGGAATCCTCCTAAACCCATAAGCAAGTATACTACTGCCCCATATGTATATGTCTCCTTTGTTACTGTTTTAGACAGAAATAATTTATTCTTTGAATTTTTAGAATTGCCTCATTGAAGGCATACGTATACCCCATCCTCAAGTCCACATTTCTACCCCTTCCCACAAGCATAATTTTTAACCCAAGTTCAGTTGTCAATGCTTGTTGATCAATATTATGAAAGGTTTATTTGAATGTAAAGAGTTTAAAAGTCTGGTTTGCTATCATCTCCTACCATGCATTGTTCTAAGTAAGGGAAACTTTCATAGATCCTAGAGAGTATCACCCCATTTTGCTAGATGACATCCAATGATAATGGCCTTAACATGATGGGAAATTAATTGAGAAAGCATTTCTACCCTGCTATAATTTTATCATCCATTCTATTGCTGCTATTAGCAGGAATCCATAACCCCATGGGTGTTTCAAGTGAATCTCTTTTAGCAGAGCTAACAGTCTGGAGGTCATACAGCTAGCAACTCCCATCAGCTGGGTGTCAAATCATTGTCGAAAAGAAATTACTGGTGTATTCATTTTTTTTAGCTTCTAGCCTTGTGCTGTGGTATACGAGATGATTTGTCGAGAGCCACTGGGGAAAACAGAGCACTGGTGGTCACTGAAGTCTTCTTTCATGTCAGCACTTAGTAGAATCATTACAACTTAACTTGGCTATGTGGGGCACTGCCTGCAATTGAACACACTTTTAAGACAGGATTAGAAGATTCTGGATTCAAATTTTTGTTGGACATAAATTTTTTTCTTAAATGAATGCCAATACATACAGAATAAGTGCCACTTGCAGTATTATAATAAGTAGCAGTTCCCCTCATTATATAGAAAAACATACAATTGCATTGTTATACAAACAATAATAAACTTTTTATATTAATGGCTAATGTCCCCTATTTTCATTTGCCTCTACACATAATAAAATAATTTTCATATATATATTTTTAAATATCCTATATGTGCTGATATAACACACACACACACACACACACACAAAAGAAGGCATGGATAAAATTCAAAAGTGAAAGAGATCATTCTTTTCAGTTCTGTGAAATCAAGTTTTTCTATTCTGTTCTTTTAAACTTTTTCCTCTGATATAAAACAAGCAAGCTATTAAGCTATAATATCTTTTTATACCAGTTTTTACAATGAAGCGCTGAATACTACAGTAATTTTTCCATAAACTTGTATAATATATTTTAGTTAAATGTTTCCATGCTTAGAGTTTACAAATTGCCTTCAGGCTATGGTTGGTGTTTTCCTAACATTTGGTCAAGGAGACAGTTTAGAAAAGGCAATGTCTATCTTATCTCCTGTGATATTTAAATGAATGAAAACAATTAATGAAATGTGACATATTATAATGGAATATAATTGTATGTGCATACTAATAAATAATATTTAGAAAATTTGAGTACCACCCTGACATGTGCAGGCATACAAGTGTATAGTTACACTTTCTATAATCTTTCATATATCTTAATGGCTTTAACAAGTCTATTACAAAATGGCTATGCCAAGACTGGAGTAGAATTCCTGAATCTATAGGAGTGCTGAACATCTCAACTATGACATATATGTTAACATATTTTTTGCAAACAGCAACAGGAATTAAAAAGTAGTTATTTTATGTAGAGTAAAATTCTGCATTTTGTATAGAACAAAATAAACAATATTATTCAACATTACAATAGTAAGGAATATATAGTAATAATATGAGTACTATTTGTCCCAGCTAGTGACCAAAGGCATTAATACCCGTAATTGAGAAAATATTCTCTAGGATTTACAAATAAATGTAAATATCTGTCAAATATAGACAAAGCATATGATCACAAGATAATTTGAAAACAAAGATTATATACAGATAAACACTCAAAATGTGTTGCATATTGGACATAAAAAGAAAGTTAAATGTTACCTCTAGTTTTATTAAAAGTAAATGTTATGTTCTAATCTCCATACAAAATTTATTTCTTATGAAATAGAATGGTTACTGGTTTAAAGACACTAGCTTATTATAAAAAGTTTGTTACAACCAAGGACAAATGAAATTCAAATCCTAAAAAAAAAAATCTCTTTTAAAAATATTTTCAGTGACTATAATGTATACTTCATCACTTTGTTATTTATTTATTTTTGAAATTTTTAACAGCTATGGTAGTGTCTAAATTGTTAAATAGTTACGATTATTGGCAAGGAGAAAATTTTGCTCTACATTTTAATCACAATGATTCTAGAAGGAGTGTGTAAAAAATTTAAAAAAACATGTCCAGGAAGCAATACATGATGAAAGTTGTATTAAGTGATAAAGCGCCAGGCTATTGTATAACTGGGCAACTATATTACGCTTAAATGTAGAAAATGTGCATAATTTCAGATGCATTGTTCTAAACAGTTTACAGGAAAAGATGTTCCAGAGTTATAAAAATAGGAAACATATTTGAATTTAAGCTCTGTATTCATTTGTATTTTATACTTAGAAATCTAGGAAATACTGATAACTAAACACCTAAATTAATTTTGACAATATTACGTGCTTATGTTTGGTCAAAAATCATCATGAAAATTTGGATTTAGGAAACTAATAAATTCTGACTCATTTATTAATTCTAACTGGAAAGGCATGACTTGGTCTCATCTACACTTTTATTATAATTATGCTCTGAGACACTGCCTTTATGCATTTTCCAATAACCCTGGAAAATATTGACTCTAAAATTTCATGAATACACTATTTTTTTTCATGTTTGTAACCTAACATGTCAAATTTTTTCCAACATAGAAGGAATATCATTTGTTTGTGAGTTATCTCTAAAAGGGGTATGAACTCTTAATTTTAAATTAAGAATTTACATTTAACGCTGATATTTCATAGAAGCTAAATGCTATTTTTTAAAACAATTTTTCTCTTTGAGATCAATGAATAACATTTTTTTGAACTTGAATAGAATTAAATGTATGATTATGGATAAAAATTATTTCAGTATTTATTATATATTTTTAATGTATGCGTTATTCTAACAGTGTAATACCCAACTAAATATATTGCTTTAAAAAAAAACTATGCAAAAATCAGCAAATAGGAAAAATAAAACTTAGACTCAAAGTAAGAGATCTCTTATGAGTAAATCTACTCAGGGTTAGTGCTAACATCAGGTTTCCAGGAATGATTTATTTACACAAAAGCTGAACTTCGGCTTTGAATCACACATTATAAAATACCCTATTTAAAAATTTTGCATCATCTTTATTAAATTTTTTATTTGTTCCTTTCTCACAGTGTTTTGCTCTGTCAACTGTTTGTTAGAAGATTTCATGCCAGAGAAAATTGAGTTTCATATCCATGCTCATAGATCACAGTCTGAATACAACTTGCTGCACTCCACTTGGCAGGTAGGAATATCTGTGAATAACATGAAACATAATTGGCTTCAGCTCCCAGTGTTGTCCCCTGAAATTGCTTCATTCCTGTATCTCCTGACCTAAGCAGCAAAGACATATTTTAAATCCAGACTGCCTTAAATTGCTGCATTACAGCTAAAAAAAAAAAAAAAAAAAAACCCTTAAGTGTTACTGAGGTGACAAAAACTGCTTGTTTTTCAAAATATTCTGTATGATTTGGTGAGATATATATGTGAAGGTAGTTACTTCAATTACAAAACACTGACATTACTAAGTACATTTAGCTTATGAATAATGTTCACTGGGTTTTGTGCCTGTTTATATCCAAATTTTATAATATGACTGTATTCATTATTAAAAGACAAGCTGTTTCTTCTTCTTTATTAATTGAAGCATTACTTACTGCTTATATTTTTAATATACTAAACATGTGTTTGAATATGGTCCGTGGCCAAATTTCACAGCCGGTGGTTTAAGAACTCAGAAGACTCACTCCCAACCTGATTAGCTGGTTCCCGCGATAGTGGAGGAGGGGTGGGTGGAAGTAGCAGCGGTAATTTCTTAGCTCATTAGGTGCATATTCATCTTAATGGGGCATCAAAGTTTAAAACTATAATGCATTCCCCTCATTCAAGCCACCAGAGAATATGCATAGTAACCACATGAAAGCAGAAAGGATTTCAACACTTTGAAGCTGCACAAGCAGGTGTCATCTTTCCCTTAAGGCAGAATGGAGCGGAAACTTGATTAATCTAATTCTGCCTCAGTAACCCCCTCTGCGGCTCTCTCACTATCCGGAGTGGATGTATAGCAGAGCATCACCTCAGATAAAACACAAATTGAATTGCCTTTGGCCACATTTCAGAGCGGGATAGGAGGAAAAGAAACATGACCTAAGTCATATTCTCTCCAATAAAACCATTTTTATTCATTTTCTCCACACACATTTATTAGCACCCCTTTTTAAACATAAAATATTTCTGCAGGATGCTGCAGAATAAGGAGCATAAAAATTCAGAAAAGTGTTAAAAGAGAACATAATTATGCTTTTGCCTTCTCTTTAAACATATTTTTAACAATTTTAAACAAATATTAGGCTTTTCAACTTATTCTTCACAATCAACTTTAGATACACGTTATATATTTGTCACAAAAATTATCTTTTGCATTTTTTTTTTTTTTTTTTTTGCCAATCAGTTTGAGCTTATGAGGTTAGCCTTGAACTGATGACCTCGCCTTCGCGAGCGCCATGACATCCGGCGGGAGCCACTTTGGACCCCTCTTTTGCATACTTTTTTATGCTCAGAAAAAAAATCTTTAATTTTTATAGAGTACAAAGCTTATTATTCTTATTCTTCAAATAAATATACAACCTTCAGTTTGCAATTCCTTTGCGACTCAAATAAGTGGTTGGAGTTCTTTTCATCTTAGTTTCAGGTAACAGGAAAATGTCTGACTTTATTTTGGGAAAATAAAAAATAAAGGTAGGAGGGTAATAAATTTTGGTATATAATATTTTATCTAAAACATTTTTAACATTTCCCCTACTTCATCTTATGTAGTTATTTATTTGAAACTAATAAAAAGTCAGAAATAATACAATGCAGTAATGTAAAAGTATATAAAATAAATAAATAAATTTATTTTTAAATAAATTAAAAAATAAATTTATTTTTAAAATCTGAAGTAGAAATGTTTTATTTCAATGCCATCTGTGTTTGCTACTAGAATATCAGTGAATGCCTTATGGATGAGGTCAGTGCTGCGTGCCATATATACTATTTTCTCCTCATTTCTCATTTCTGGCACATTGCCTAGCACATAGTAGGTGCCAGTTAATAAGTATTTTTTAAAACCTGGGAAAAGTCCATATGAAATGAATAGTTTACCAAATATTTGCATGCCTGTACTTTTACATTAAACACTATTTGGAGATGTCAATTTGTCAATTTTTTAAGATAAGCTTACAATGGTTTAAATATTTTAGATGGTTATATTTAAGCTCAATAGCTGTATGTTTTCGTGATGACTTGATGCCAAGAAGTTATAGTCTGAAGAGGATATCTTGAAACCACTTTGTCTAGATGGAACTTTAGTTTTAAGATCATATATTCCGTATAGGTTATATATACATTTTGATGTGTAGTATATATACTTCATTTGATAAACCTCACTATTTTGCATTATTTGTATATAACCAAATAAGAAAAATAGGTCCTAAAATAAAAATGGTAGTCGTGGTATAGAAAGTATAGAATATTGGTCCACAGCAGCATTAAATTTAACCCCTTATTCTTTGTTTTCCTTTCTCTCCTTTACCTAAACACTCAAGAAAAGCCTCCAGCTACTTAAATGTACATTTGATGGTCTGAATAAATCAGTCAAAACTCAGATTTGAATTAATGATAGACTGATAACCTAAGTAATTAACCCAAATGAAGATTATAAAATATCTCCAGCTGATAAAGTATGAAATGATGCTTTTGCTTGGGATAAATTTAGGCATTTTTTTTAATCCATAAGACTGCAGGCACTTCTCCTTTCTACCATTTATCAAGTAAACCTGGGAATACAATACACAGAAGAAGCATAATTTATCATGCAAGTCAACTCTTCCCCACTTCTTCAGGTGATTATGTATCTTAGGAAATTTCATAAAAATAAATTTATCTTTGAAGAAAGAAGAATCATTTGCAGAATGATTCTTTAACTACTAAATAATGCAAAGAAGAATAGACGCTGTTTTATAAGAAGTACAATGTGGTCATATCATATTTAGTATTTCTGTCACATTAGATAGAAAAGATAGAATAATAGTGAAATAAACTGGCAAAAGTTAATCAAACGATAACCTCATTTCTGTTTGAAACACACATTTTTGCAAACACCATGGTAAGAGCAAACTTACTGCCAAATTCTGGTTTTTGTTGTTATTATATTTGTACCCTTTATATTTCTTGTGTAAATTAAAGACATACTGATTTCATGACTCATTTGAATTCTTGTTTAAAAATAGTCTTGAAAAGATATTTTTCAAATTTATGTGATATAATTGTTACCGCTTTTATGACTCACTTCTCCAACCATTCATTCACCTAAGCTCTGATCCTAGATATTCAGGACCCTCATCATCATCTCAAACTCCATATATTAAAAACATGTGCTTTATTTTCCAAGGCCAGTTTCTTTCCCCAAAAGCTCCATACTTGCAATTTGTCTACATGAATTTTAATCCTAGCTCTGCCATTCACTAGCTATGTGGTCTTGGACAAGTAAGTCTGTTTTCCCATATGTAAAAAGAATATGATAAGTATCACATGAGACCATTGAATAATTAAATTAGTCAATGTAACTAAAGGACCTTGAACAATGATAAGCACATAGAAAAGTCCTACATTAATGTTGTTTTTATTATTACTGTTGTACAACCTAGGTAACTCTTATTCATCTTTGTCAATTCCTTCTTCTTTATCCCCGGAACCTAACCAATACCGTAGCATAAGTGAATAAAAATTATATTTTTTTTACCGCACATTTGGCGTATCTCCTGCACTCTCTTTAATACAAACTCTATTCTCATTATGCCTTTAATATTAGGAAAGATCTTATCGCACTCCACCAAAGAATGTATGCTGCATAACGCTTCCAGGACAGGGCTATTAATGAAATCTTGCATCATGCCATCATTTCTTTTAAAACTAAGAATGGTTATTTTCTACAGTATTAGTTACACACTTTTGTGTGACTTTCTTTTTTTTTTTTCTGACACGGAGTTTCGCTCTTCTTACCCAGGCTGGAGGGCAATGGCGTGATCTCGGCTCACTGCAACCTCTGCCTCCTGGGTTCAGGCAATTCTCCTGCCTCAGCCTCCTGAGTAGCTGTGATTACAGGCACGTGCCACCACGCCCAGCTAATTTTTTGTATTTTTTTTAGTAGAGACGGGGTTTCACCATGTTGACCAGGATGGTCTCGATCTCTTGACCTCGTGATCCACCCACCTCAGCCTCCCAAAGTGCTGGGATTACAGGCATGAGCCACCACGCCCGGCCTGCCTGACTTCCAAGTTCATTCTGATGTGATCTTATGACAACTATCAACTCTGATTTCATACCACCCCGACTTTTTGTATGCAAATAGCAAGAAATTCTACTTAAGCTGTCTTAAAATTTTTAAATGTACAAGCTCACAAAGGAGTAGGGCTGTATTTAGAGTCAGTATATGTAGGGATGTACTTAGAGGCAGCATATTCAGAGACCCACAGATATGCCCATAGTATGTCCAGAGACCCACAGTATAATATATGACCCAATTTTCTCATCCACAATGCTGGCCTCATCCTAAGACTAGTTGCTCATAGGAGAATAGGTTGACCTCATGCTTCTATGTTCATCTTTCTTTGAAATGGCAAACACACCTGTCTCTCTTCAATGGCCAAGCAAGAAGTTTAGGATTGCCATGACTTGCTCAAATTATCAACTAGGGTAAAATTGATAATGGGGGCTCAAACACAATGTCTACTAAAGGTGCTAAAATCAGTTGAAATAATAATTTTATGTTGATTGATCAATGATAAAAAAAATATTTTGCATTACAAATTTATGAAGTGGAAAGAATCAACTAAGAGTTTTCAAGTTCCTGGGATTGGTAAATCATGATTTGGGTGACATTATGTGTTATATGACATATTAGATGACTATTCTAGGAGATAAAAGGGATGTAGGGTGTAATTCTAGCTTTACTATTCACCAGTAGTGTGAGCTTGATAAAGTTACTTACATTCACTTACTCTCAGTCTTCTTAGTTATAAATTGAGAGTTCATATAGAACATATTTAATAAGATGGTTTTTATATTAAATTTTAAACATGCATATGAAGTGCTTAGTCCAGTGTTTGGTACATAGTAAGCTCCTAGTAAGTCTTAGTTTACATTTTCAAAATGAATAAATTATAGCAAATTTAGGCAAATTTTATAAAAATGTGAATGTGTTCTGAATTAACTAGAAATCTAAAGGATAAAAGTATTATTGAATTGATTCAAGGTTGTAAAATAAGTCAGTTAAAAAGGAGTTTCTTGATGAAAAGCATCGAGAAACCTACTTTAATAAATGTAAAAAATTATTTACATGTGTTTGTTTAAAATTGGTGTTTTGAAATGAAAAGTTGTATAGTGATAGGAATTCAAGTGTTTGCCTTGCAATTGATTAAGTAAGGAGTTTTTATCCACAAATAATTAAAACAAGACATCAGATCAGCACTGTTTAAATTATTCATGTATTCTATAATATATATCTAAGTTCATGTGGTTCTAGCTTGCTGTTAGTCTCAGGTCTACAATTTAGACTCAGTCAACCTGAAGCATTGATCAAAAAGAATGACCCCATTCTTCACAGTTTCCCAGCAATCCACATGTAGGGTATATTAGTTGAAACTGTGATTCTGTTCATCTTTAAAGCATTTCTTCTGTCTTCCCTGCTTGAACTTATCCTGTTCAATTGCATTTCAAAAGCTCCTTGAGAATCCTGCTGCCATCTGCTCCTTATAAATCTCCAGCCCAGCAGTGTTTCATTACACGTCACCTCAGCGCCAGCAAAGACACTGTGGATGGGAATTTTGTCCTCTGTTTATAAGTACAGTAGCCCCACTTAACCGTGGTTTCATTTTCCATAGTTTCAGTTACCCACAATCAACTGCTGCCTGAAAATATTTTGAGGGGAAGGGAAGACCACATTCACATAACTTTTATTATGACATATTGGTAAAATTGTTCCATTTTATTAGTGGTTATTGTTCACCTCTTTTAATGCCTAATTTATAAACTAAACTTTATTGTAGCTACGTATAAGAAGAAACATAGTATATATATATATATATAGTTATATATGTATATAGTTATATATATAGTTATAATAGTGTATGTTATACATAGTTTGTATGTGTGTGTGTATATGTATGTAGAGTGTGTGTATATATATATAGAGAGAGAGAGAGAGAGTGTGTGTATGTATATGTATATTAGAGAGAGAGAGAGAGAGAGAGAGAGAGAAAGTTTAGTACTATCCATGGTTTCAGACACTGGGGGTCTTGGAACATATTCCTTGAAGATAAGGAGAACTACTGTAATTGTTGGATCTCATAGTTGATACTGCTTAAGTAGATTGATTCAAAGTCTACAGATATTTCACTTTTAAAGTCATTTTAAGAGGTTTGACATTATAACCACTTAAGAGACTTTTACTGTGGTCTCCAGTAAGATAGCCCTTTAAAGTCATTTCTCCCCAAAGGAAAAGTGACCCTTAGTTTCCACCTCTGTGTATGAATTCAAAGGCTTGGATGGTATATGTGATGTCTATGGAGCACACTAGTCCATAATATCCATATTGTACTGTGACTTGAAAGACTAAATATTAGAAATGTTATCATTATAGACAAATATATTAAGAAGACAGAAATAAAAACTTATCAGGTGTTCTAATATTGCCTTTTGGATGTTAGTTAATCTTCCTATGATAAATTCTCTCACATTTGGAAAATGAAAGAAAATATACAGTTTTAATAAAAACAATGTTGCAGGGGTCATTAGTGATAATTTATCTTAAATCCTTTGCTTTATGGATAGAAAAAACTGAAGCCCACAACTGTTTGCTCAACATCACACTTAAATATTATTGTTACAGCTATGACATTAAAAAATCTGGAGACAACAGATGCTGGAGAGGATGTGAAGAAAAAGGAACACTTTTACACTGTTGGTGGGAGTGTAAATTAGTTCAACCACTGTGGAAGACAGTGTGGCGATTCCTCAAGGCCTTAGAAATAGAAATTCCATTTAACCCAGCAATCCCATTACTGGGTATATATCCAAAAGACTATAAGTCATTCTACTATAAGGACACATGTACACGAATGTTCATTGCAGCACTGTTTACAATAACAAAGACTTGGAATCAACCCAAATGCCCATTGATGATAGACTGGATTGGAAAAATGTGGCACATATACACCATGGAATATTATGCAGCAATCAGAAATGATGAGTTTGTGTCATTTGTAGGGACATGGATGAATCTGGAGAACATCATCCTCAGCAAACTGACACAAGAACAGAAAATGAAACACCGCATATTCTCACTCATAGGTGAGTGATGAAAAATGAGAACGCATGGACACAGAGAGAAGAGTACTAAACACTGGGGTCTATTGGGGGGAAATGGGGAGGGCCAGTGGGAGGGGGAGGTGGGGAGGGATAGCCTGGGGAGAAATGCCAAATGTGGGTGAAGGGGAGAAAGGAAGCAAAACACACTGCCATGTGTGTACCTATGCAACTGTCTTGCATGTTCTGCATATATACCCCCAAACCTAAAATGCAATAAAAAATTAAAAAAAAAAAAAAAAAAGAAAGAGACTGGGCCGGGCGGGGTGGCTCATGCCTGTAATCCCAGCACGTTGAGAGGCCGAGGCAGGTGGATCACGAGGTCAAGAGATCGAGACCATCCTGGTCAACATGGTGAAACCCCGTCTCCACTAAAAATACAAAAAATTAGCTGGGCATGGTGGCATATGCCTGTAATCCCAGCTACTCGGCAGGCTGAGGCAGGAGAATTGCCTAAACCCAGGAGGCGGAGGTTGCGGTGAGCCGAGGTCACGCCATTGCACTCCAGCCTAGGGAACAACAGCGAAACTCCTCCGTCTCAAAAAACAAAACAAAACAAAACAAAACAAAACAAAAAGCAGAGACTAAAATCAAATACAATGAGCAATCTTTGTTTGAATTCTAATTCCAAAGGATAGTTTTTAAAAAGATAATTCAAAAATTCTGAATTGGCCTGAATGTTATATAATATTAATAAAATATGTTTATTTTATTGGTGTGCACATAGTACATTATGATTTTGTAAATAAAATTTTTATACTTTTGAAAAACACATGTGGAAATAGATTTAAAATGATGTGGTTGTATATCTGCAGCAAGAACAATAACAACAATCACTAGAAGACAGGATTAAAGGGAGTGTGTATCGAGAGGGTGGGGCACATAGAGCCAATCCACTTCAATGCATGGTATGAAACTGACAAAAGGAAGATAAAAAACGACACACACGAAAAGGGTTAAACCAGGTAAACATAGCCCAAGAGTCAGACTACTTTCTTCCTTTTTTTTTTTTTATTCCAGTTTCTTTTTCCAGCTATCCTTGTGCTATTCTGCAAATTCCCTGATATCTTGCCTTTGGAGACCATCCTTGTTTTTTTTTTCCTGCTCCACCACTAAGGTGTGGCAGTCACTCGTTTTCCAATTTTCACCAATGGCCACTCGTGTACATTTGATATGGAGCCTACTTTACTGTTATTTGGGGACATAGCAGATGTTCATGTAGAAGAAATGCAGACAACTTAAAATTAGTTTCAGCCTTTGGACTTCCCCCATGTTTTTCTGTTCTCTCTCACTCTTCTCTTTGATCTTTCTCACATTTGCCAAAAAGTTCCCCATGTATTACTAAATGGAGCAATATAGCTTTCTGCTCTCCTTCATATCTCTAAAGCCTCAATGAATCTGATAAATAACTCACTATCTAGTCTTAGTTTCACTCTTTCTCTATCTCATACCAGTCTGTAAGATATGGGAAGATTTACACGGAGAATATATTAATATGTGCTCCCTATGACCACATCCCCTTTATCCCTGCCAGAAAGTAAAACTAATGACAGTAATGTTAGTTTTAAATATTTTTATTTTTATTTCTAAAATATTTATATAATTGAAATCACATTTTATATACGATTTTTATTTTATGTTTTTCTCATGTCCTTAAGTGTTATTGGCAATGTTATCATTCTTTTTTTTTTGTTAATTTCAAAAAAAAAAAAAGGAAAAAGCATCCTAAGCTATGACTGGCGTGAGATGGTATCTCAGTGTGGTTTTGATTTGCATCTCTCTGATGACCAGTGACGATGAGCATTTTTTCATATGATTGTTGGCCTTATATATGTCTTCTTTCAATCAAGAATAATTTTACCCATATTTTTTCTTTCATTTTCCTCCGTGTCTTTGAATTGTTGATAAAACTTTGTTGCTTGTTTTATAAAATGGTCTGTAGTCTAAATATTATTGTAAATGATTGCTTATTCTAATCGTTTTTCTCTGTTTCTTTAGTTCTGTATTTATTGTAAGTTGGATGTTAGCCTAACTTCTCATTGATTAGATTCAGGTTAAACATCTTGGCAAGAATACTTAACAAAAATGATATATAATTCCGTATGAATACTTTATGCTGTATCACCCCAGGAAGTATTATATTAAAGAGATGAAATCAAGGAAAAGTTTTTGAAAAGTTACAAGCCTATCTCTTTGATCCTTTGCCTCTCACCATTCTTCCTTCTTTCTTTTGGGAATGCTGGCCTAATATCTGAAGGTTCAGCAGCCTTCTTGTGATTATAGCAACCAAAGAAGTAAGATGTTAAAAATGTCCTGGATATAATGTGTATCTGTGAAGGCATATGCAATCCAGAACCATTCAAGTTCTTTATTACTGCTGTATGAAATAACAATAATTATATACATGACAAATAATATTAACTTACTTTTAAAGGAATTTTATTTTATTTTAAGTGAGGGATATGCAGGTTTGTTACATAGCTAAATACATGCCATGGTGGTTTGCTGCACCTATCAACCAGTTTATTGCTAATATTATTTGAAATTTCTGACATATGAATGTAATGCAATACTGATTTACTCTTTTTTCACATTTTTCCTCAGCACCACTCGTGCTTGCTGCACCAGTAAAGCCATCCTGTTGTGTGAAGCTAGCATCTCTCCCAGTTAATAACCACATCATACTGTTCTCTTCAATATCAAGATTTCAAACCCATCTCTTGAGTGCCAATTTCTTCACTTTAAAATATGAATATTAACAATAATTACTTCCTATTTTGTGTGTGGACTTTTTTTTGGTGAGAACTACACAGAATAATTTAGGTAATGCAGATAAACCATAGCATCTAGTATATAGTAAGTAGTTCAATAGTAATAGCTATTACTCTTTTCCCATTATCCTTGCAGAACATTGAAACTAGCCATCAGGGTGAGGTAGTAACTGATATTTATTATCACCCAGGAATCTCAGAATCATTTTCCTTGTCATTTATTACTGAATAATCACCTGAGGTTCTCTCTTGTGAAGATATTATTACCTGAAATTTTATACAGATACCATTTGTTCATGAAAAGAAAAGCAATTGTAATGCAGAAGCTGAGACTAAAAGAATAGTAACCTATGTGTTCATTTCAAGAGAGAAATCCAAAAAAAGTGGGAAAGGGTTCTTATTACAGTAGGCTCAATAAATATGTGTCACCAACAGCTAAGTCCATATTTGTTCACTACACAGTACTAAAAGCAAGATCCAGTTAAGCAAGCAGGTCAGCTGTGGCAGAAGTAGACCTGCCAGCTGAGAATTATAAATTTATTAATATGATAAAAGAATTTAAGAAAAAAATTGTTTTTCTGAGCCCCATCAACTGAAGCTGATAAATTGATAAACAAAATTTGATTTACTTAAAAGACTCTGACTTGGCCAAGAAAGATTTAACCTGGATTTAAATCAAAGTTGTAAAGAAACCATTTAGGGGACACTCAAACATCTCACCTGGTTCAGGGAATCACAAAAAAAGGGAAGTGTTCAGACCTTGATGGTGTTGGAGCAGTTATAAATAAACGCAAAGGACATAATCATTTGGCAAACGAGATCATCTGCTACATCGTAAAGTATAAAAAAGTTATAATAGATATATGACTCCTAGCATGATGGAATGAGGATGTAAAAAATCACTTCTAAAAAATTAAGCATAAGGCTGGAAGAAATATTCAAAGCAACTATTTTGGTACTCTGGAATTTGACCAAAGCTATACAACAAAGTGTTTATTCATAAAAATTAATGAACGTTATAAAAGAACAATAAAGGTCTATGGCATTCATTTCCAGAACTGTTTCCTTTTCCCTCAGCCAACATCCTGAGCTCTGTCATCATGGTACTTCAACCAAGGCATGGCAAGCTGTGAAAACCAGTGTCTTTGCAGCTGCTCCTGGTGGAGACTCACTTCATTTGAAGCATTGTTAGCTAAAGCATCTATTTCAGCAGCAAGCAAACAGAAAGTATCAGCAGACTAACTGGGGATTTCACAGAGAGTTCCAGGAGGTAAGACAGTTATAGAGGGCTCAATAAGCTCACTACATACCATGTGCATGTGTAGAGTGACCAGAGTGGACACACACTATCCAAGTAAAACTGCTCCACATGGCTGGTGGGACCAGGTGAACTCTCAAAAGAGTCACAAGACAGCCTGCAGAATGTAAAAGCTGTGGCAGATTTGAAAATAAAGTTTGAATATACTCTTCGGCCAACACACAAATCCATTAGCAGAGGGTTGAAGCTTTACTAGCTTTAAGTATTGGAGAAAAATCTGACCCATATTTGGATGACCTCTAAGCTATGCCAGCACAGGAACCAAGGCTTAAAAATAAAACCATAGAAAAAAATGAGCAGAAATCAGCAGCCATGCATTACTAGATTACATTATAAACTTTCCCTGATTACACAGATGTATGTAGTCTAGGCAAATTTATAAACAAACAACAAATCAGGTTGAAGCTAGTTAGGAACCAAATTCAGGGTTGCTGATATATTATCAAAAAAATAAGACATGGAAAGATACAAGAAAATGCTACTCAAATTCAGAGGAAAACGCAGTCAATAGAAACTTCTGATTATCCCCAGATGTTAGATTAAGCAAAGACTTTAGGATAGCTATTATAAATAGTTTGAAATAACAATAGAAACCATGCTTAACAAAAAGTATAGCGATGATAATATAATAAATAAATAATCTCAAAAAAGAAGTTAAAATGTGTTATTTAAAATGATCAAGCAGAATTTCCAGAGTTGGAAAGTACAGTAAATGAAATACAAACTCATGTGAGGGGCTCAACATAAGATTTGAGATGGCAGAAGAAAGAATCGGTGAACTTGAAATTAGAGCAATAGAAATTATCCAACCTGAAGAACAGAGAAAAAAAAATTAAGAAAAGTCAACAAAGCCTCAGAAACCTGGGGGAATATATAAACTGTATCAAGAAATGAGT